AAAAAAAAAAAGAGATCGAATGTGTTATAGTTTCAGCTAGGCTGTTTCAAACTCTCATTTCCTCTGATGGACTCAAAGAATAAGAATCTTCTAAATAATATTTTAAGTATTTGTGACCCCAGAAGATTTTTTGAGGGGCAATCAAAGATAGTTACCTAAAATATTAGTTTTCTTGACATTAAGAAAATGCATTTATGTGTTGGTATAAAACACACATTTTAAGAAAATTAATCTATAATTAAATTTATAAAACAGAAAATAATTACTTGTGTGACAAATAGTCCTTAGAAAAGTCTAGTTTTTAATAATGGATTGACTCATAACTTTTCATATTGTAGAGTATAACTGTTAAATATATTTGTGTTTCTAGCTGCCTTCTATAAATTTTATAGGAACAAAAGAGGTTTTTTTTTAAGATTTTATTTATTTGAAAGAGAGAAAGAGAGTGTGAGAGAGCATACGCAGGGGGGAGATGCAGAGGGAGAGGGAGAAGCAGGCTCCCCACTGAGCAGGGAGCCTGAGGCAGGGCTCCAACCCAGGACCCTGGGATCATGACCTGAGCTCAAGGCAGATGCTTAACCGACTGAGCCAACCAGGTGCCCCAAGAGTTTGTTTTTTAACTAGGTTCATATGTTCTGTAATTTTAATGTCTTTTTGCCATTAAAATTATAGAACTTGGCCAACTCTTCATCCAAGTGAAGGCTCAGCTCGCCTGGTGTCCCCTAGGGGGATCGAATCACCCTGGGCCAGTGAGCTTAGTGGCTAAGCTTCAGGGCAGCCTTGATTCTGATTTTATTCAGTCTTACACCTGTGCCCAAATTCCAATTTGGGGTTTTTACATCATTCCTATGCCAAATGTATAATTTGAGCCTTGAATACCATAACTAGGCCCTTATCTCATGTTCTGATGCAGAGGTCTCCCTTATATTTTATAGTTCTTCTGGGGTTAAATTCTGGCCCCTGAACCCCAACACCAAATTTGTTCCCTTACCACTTGCTGTCAGATTGTCTTCAGGCAACCACTTTGTCTCTGCACATAATCACATAATCTGTTAAACCATACTCTCTTAATTCTACACTTTTCACTATCACCATCAATGTCCACCTACATTCTGCCATTCACCCCACCTACCCCATAAGTGTCTATCATACCACTGACTCAGCTCTCATTCTGACAGTATGATAAAATTCCTTTAAGTTAGATATTAGTGGATTCATTTCACTATTTGAGGAAAATGGAAACTTACAAAGTCAATTTATGTTAATTGCTTTGTGTGGAAAATTGATATTTAAGTTAGGCAGTACATACTTTTCTAATATTAAAGTAGGTCACCCACTAAAATAAAGCAGTATCTAGATTTGTAGTAGGTTGTAATTATGAAAAAAATGATGTTACATATTCTAAAATATAAGTTAAATGTATAATGCATTTAATTTCTTGCTCTATGAATTGATATATAACATTGTCTAGTATTAAGAGGATTTCTGAGGATTTTATAGATGCTGGAGAAGCAAAGGCATATAAAACATCTGTCTATGCCATCAATATAGTAGAAAGAGAGACAACTAGACATAATAATAAAGTCTCTTAGGTGCTACAGTTGAATTCTATACACAGTACTGTAGAAGCAATGAAGAGGGAGTAGTAAGTTTTATGCTTGGAGGAAGGAAGTATGGAACTTTCTACAGAGTATGTAATTCTTGGTCTTGGCCTCAAAAAATAAGATTCCCCAAAGAGGAAGTAGACAGGATGAATGGAGTGTGTTAGATGGAGTGTCCAGCTGAAGAAAGATACAGAAATAAGACGGCATCTTGCTTTGGAGGGCTTTAAGTAATATGGTAGCAGGCAGAGAAGAATGCTAGAGAGACTACAGAGAACCTTGAAAGCTATACTGAAGAGCCCAGACTTTATCCTGAAGGCAGCGAGGAGCCATTGAGGGATTTTAAGCTTGAAGGAAGGGCAGTTGTTACATGGTGAGATTTTCATTTTGAGCTCCCTTGTCAACAGGATCAAGGATGAATTTGGGAAACCAAGTCTGGAAACAGACCCTTAGGATAATCTGATGAAGCTCAGATAAGAAAGGAAAGAAGTAAGGTAATGGAGAAAAAGAGGAGAGGTTAGGTATGAGATAAGGAAGTAGAAGCAACATGATGTGATTACCGAGTAGATGTTGTAGAGAATAGGGAGATTTTTGGCCTCAGTGCCAAACTAAGAAAATACAGAATTGTAAAATATATACAGATATACATTTTTTTTCCTTTGAGGGAGGAGAGGAGATGAAATTCATCAGTGTTGATGTCAGAATGGATAAGATTGCACAGTGAATGTGTCTAGTATGAGAAGAAGGACACAATCACAAAGAACATCTACATTTGAGTCATAGACAGAAGAAGGAAGTCAAAGAAATAAAAAGGAAATTAATAGAAAGTGCTATCGCAGCAGCTCTTCCTGCCCACGGGTCCTGTCCCTGTGCTTTAATAAAACCACCTTTTTTTTTGCACTGGGGGAAAAAAAAAGTGTAATCAAAAAAGCCAAAAAAAGGGAAAACCTTTCAATAAAGGAAGTGAACGGAACATAGAGGTTATTATTTTCCTTTTTATTTGGGCTATGAACAGGAGAGTAGTTATTTGAAGGAGACACAGAGTTGTAAGGAACTTTTAAAAAATTAACTTAAATATATTTATAGAAAGTGGAGAAGATTGAAAAAAACAGGAAAAGAGAGAGCAAAATAACAAACAGAGAAAGGTCCCATGTGAAATGAGTATGGGATGAAGTAAAGGATTGGCTCTGAAACAGTTTGATAAGGCTGTGAGTGAATGATAGAGAAAAGGAACTAATTGAAGAGTGGATATATTGGGAGTCAAATTGATAGAGAGCAGGAAGAATTGTAGGTTCTGGAGACTTCCAATCAATTTTTTTTAAGTTTATTTATTGTTAGTAATCTCTATACCCAACATGGGGCTCAAACTTATGACCCCAAGATCAAGAGTCACATGCTCCTCCAACTGAGCCAGTCAGGTGCCCCTTAAATATCTCATGGGGAATAGTTCTGGATAATTGGGAACAAGATGCTGCATGGACTGGGATGTCAAAGAAAAGTGTGGGTGAAGTATGTCAGAGTCAAGAAATTCAAGGAAGTTTGTGGGGCGCCTGGGTTGCTCAGTGGTTAAGCGTCTGTCTTCGGCTCAGGTCATGATCCCAGGATCCTGGGATCGAGCCCCGAATCAGGCTCCCTGCTCGGTGGGAAGCCTGCTTCTCCCTCTCCCACTCCTCCTGCTTGTATTCCCTCTCTCGCTGTCTCTCTCTCTCTGTCAAATAAATAAAATCTTAAAAAAAAAAAATTCAAGGAAGTTTGAGATGAGACACTTTGGATGTCATAATCTCATGTGGAAATAAGGCCAAGGTGGTGGGGTGGTGGAAAGAGTTGGAATCCCTTGTTTCAACTCAGAACTGCCAAGGATTCCCTTGAAGTGTGCTGTCTTGTTTTGTTTTTCCTGGGTCCTATAAACTGGGAACTAACTTGATTAAATTGATGCTAAGTCAGATGTAGATAGCCTTAGTTAGGCATCAAATTCCCATGATAGCAAGCTTCACTCCCAGGCTATAATTGTGTTTACAATAAATATGGGAGGACTCTGAAGTTTATCATTACTAAAGGTAACAATAAGGATGAGAGCTGATAAGCTGTTATATCAGAAGAATATCCAAAGAGGGGAACCTGGGTGGCTCAGTTGGTTAAGCTTCGGGACTCTTGGTTTCCACCCAGGTCTTGATCTTATGGGTCAAGGGATTAGACTCTGCACTCAGCAGGGAGTCTGCTTGAAGATTCTCTCCCTCTGCCCCTCCTACCACTCACACACCCTCTTTCTCTTTCTCAAATAAATAAATAAAAAAAAACCCCATATCCAAAGATACATTTTTTGTCATGGAGATGTTTCACTTACTTCATTAGACTGAGATAAGTAGTCGGCTTTTAAAGATATTGTGTACTGTTTCTCTTTTTAGCATCCCAATGTGTTTGTTGGTTAACCAGCATCTTAGTCTCCTAGCAAGAAAGTTTCCAGAAACTAAATTTGTTAAAGCCATCGTGAATAGCTGTATTCAACACTACCATGACAATTGTTTACCAACAATTTTTGTTTATAAAAATGGTCAGATAGAAGGCAAATTCATTGGAATTATAGAATGTGGAGGGATAAATCTCAAGCTGGAAGGTAAGGATATTATTTTTAAAATGTTTATTTAAAAAAACAGGTGAAAACTTCCATAAATTAACAAGTATCATGAAAGTTTATTTCCATAAAACATAAGGTGTTTTCCCTCCCTTCTAGTCTCTTCTTGTATGCCTCCAGATTAATTTTCCTATAATAATACTCTTATTACAACATCTACTTGCTTAAATCCTTAATGGTTCTTTGTGTGAAATAAGTTAAAAATACAGAATCTTCTGCTTGAAAATTTCAGCCCACCTATCCAACTATATTACTCAATGCTTTCTAGTTTCTGCTCCAGCCAAGCTGTTCTTCAACCACTACTGCAGAAACCCCTTATTCATTTATGCCTTTATTCTTTGTCTCATACTCGTTCCCTGTACTCAAAATACTCTACCATTCTTTATTATCTCTTTCATACCCTATTCTTTTGTGGTTCTCCTAGGTTTCCATTTCTCTCATTATGTCATTTTGGACCAGTTCATAATCTTGTCTTCCTCTTCTCTATTAAATTTCTACAGCATATTTTCTCTATACAATTTATTTTTCACTTGTCCACGTACTATCTGATTTTGTCAGTTAATTCCCTTTATTTTCTTTTTTTCATAGCACAGTATTTATAATTTTAACATCTGTAATAATTTTTACTTGCTAACCTACTTCTAAGGCCATATCCTTGATCTAGTCATTTCTTGGAACTGCTTTAATCTATATTATTAAAATCTTCTTCTCACACCATCATGTGAAAGCCATTGAACCTCATCCTTTTAATTAAAAAAATTAATACATAAGAGTACAAACAATAATATAGCAAACATTCATGTAATTGATTACTGCCAAAAATAACAAATGTGAACTTTTATTCATTTGCTTGAGCTATTTGTTTGTTTGTTGTTCAAATAAACATTACAGATATAGTTGAAGTTATGTATAGTTTCATTCCTAGTCCCATTCCCCTTCCTGTCTCCTTACAGGCAATCACTATGATAAATAGCGTATTATCTGGTCCGTGTTTTGTGTGTGTGTGTGTGGGGGGGGGTTGGTGTTTTTTTTGTATATTTAAACAATTTTTTAAATTGTTGTAAAATACACATAATATGAAATTTATCATCTTAACTATTTTTAACTATAGTTACCACGCTGTACATTACATACCCAGGACTTACTTATTTAATAATTTTTAAGTATATAGTTCAGTTGCATTAAGCACATTCACACCGTTGTGCAAGCATCACCACTATCCATCTCTAGAACTCTTTCCATCTTGCATAACTGCAACTCTATACCACTGAACGATAGCTCCCCATTCCCTTCTCCTCCAGTCTTGGCAAGATTTCTGACTACATGAATTTGACTACACTCAATACCTCATGTAAGTGAATCATACAGTATCCTTTTGTGACTGGCTTATTTCACTTAGCATAATGTCCTTAAGTTTCATTCATTTTATAGGATCTGTCAGAATTTCCTTCCTTTTTAAGACTGAATAATATTCCATTTTATGTTTGGACCACATTTTGTTTATCCATTCATCTGTCCATGGACACTTGGGTTGCTTCTACCTTTAGGCTTTTGTAAGTCATGCTGCTATGAACATAGATGTACAAATAATCTGTTCTAGTCCCAGTCTTTTGGGTATATATTTGGAAGTAGAATTGCTGGATTATATAGTAATTCTATTTTAAGTTTTTGAGAAACAGCATACAGTTTTGCATAGTGGCTGCCCCATTTTACACTCCCACCAACAGTGCACAGGAGTGCCAGTTTCTCCACGTCCTCACCAACACTTGTTGTTTTCTCTGTGTGTGTGTGTGTGTTTTGTAGAGTAACAACCCTAATGTATGTGAGGTGTTTTCCCCACTGATTTTTAATGTTTCCTAATGTCATTTTTCATGGTTCCAAAAATGCTTCAATTTATTTCTGAAGCCTTTACTATTTGTCTATCCCTGAATCAATACAGCACTGTGTTTATTACTACAGCTTTATAACAAATCTACAATTGTCTCCAGCAGGGCAAATCTTTTTCAAAATTTAATGTGAATGTTGGAATTAGTCCACTTACATGAAAAATTCTGTTGATTATTAGAATATTTATAGATGATTTGTTGGAGACTTGATATCCAATAACAGTGGATGTTCCAATCCATGAATGAGATATATCTCATCACTTATCTTGGTCTTTTGTTTTTTGTAATTTTCCTCATAGATATATATATTACATTTTGTAACATATTTTATTATTTTCCTCAGAAGTGTGTTTTGTAATTTGCCTCATAAATGTTCTGTTCATCCATACAGTACTTAGGAATAAATTTAACAAAATTATGAATTTACAGGGACTGGGGTTTTTGGCCATCAGTTCAATTCTTTTGGTTTCTCTCTCAGATATATTTTGGTAATTTATATTTTTGTTAAAATTTTCCCGTTGAAGTTTTCACATGTCTTGGCATAACTTTTTCATAGTGTCATAGCCATATTAGAATCTTTACCTTGGTTATATCCCATGTAAATTCTTTATATGAATGGATTTCTTTCCTTTTGTGATCATTTTTGCTGAGGTATGTCTATTAGTTTCTTCAAAGAATGAGCTTTTGATTTTGTCGGTCACCTATACTGATTTTGTTTTTCTACTTTTGCTAAGTCTTTTCTTCATTATATTCCTCTTTCAGCTTTTCTTGGGTATACTTTATTGTTCTTTTCCTAGCTTCTTGATTTGAACTTTTAAGCCACTTATTTTCAGTCAATTTAAAATAAACATTTTAGCCATAATTTCTCCCTTTAAGTATAACTTTGTTGTATCCAATATGTGTTTTGATATTGTAGTACTTTCATTGTCACTCAGTTCTAAATATATCCTCATTTACACATTAATTTTATTAGCATCAATTACTATTTCATATAGATGAGGAGTTATTTTCTTTTTCCAAGATTTTTATCTGATTTAATGATGGGTTATTTATTGCAGAACTTGAATGGAAACTAGCAGAAGTTGGAGCAATACAGACTGATTTAGAAGAAAACCCCAAAAAAGGCATTGTAGATGTGATGGTATCTTCAATTAGAAACACTTCTATTTATGATGACACTAATAGTTCAAACAGTGATAATGATGATACCAAATAGAAATATTTAATAAATAGCTTCAAATTATTTACTGAATGTTTTTCACTGCCTTTATAATCAGAGGTCAGAAAATTTATGGATTTATTTTCATATTTATATTAGAATGATAGCTTATATATCATTTCAAAAACTTTCAGGTATTTCAGAATATTTGTTGCCTCCAACCAAACCAGAATTTGTACTGAACCCTTAATATTTTTCTGTGGTTTATCCTCTTTTTGACCCATGTTGGATAAGAGCACCAATATTACAAGTCCTCTGTGTTGCTTACTCCCAAAGAGGCCTATGAATGAATATAATGAAAGATGACCATGAAATTTCATTACACATCAATAAAAAAAATAAAATAAAAAAAAGATGACCATGAAATTTCATTACACATCAATAGATTTTATTTTTATTTTCTTCTTTTTCTTATTATTTTTTTAAGATTTTATTTATTTATTTATTTGACAGAGAGAGAGAGAGCACAAGTAGGCAAGGGAGAGGGAGAAGCACGCTCCCGGCTGAGCAGAGAGCCTGATGCGGGGCTTGATCCCACATGACCTGAGCCGAAAGCAGCCACTTAACCGACTGAGCCACCCAGATGCCCCTATTATTATTAATAATTTTTTTAAGTAGGCTCCACACCCCACGTGGGGTTTGAACTCATGACCCTGAGATTGAGTCACATGCTCTACTGACTAAACCAGTCAGGTGCCACTATATCAATAGATTTTAAAATCTATTATTTAGGGGCCTTGAGTGAAAATACTTAAATTTATGACCATACATTTTTTCCTGGAAACCTCTTACCTGTTAAAAAAAAAATTAACCACTCAATAGAAAAATACAATTTAAGGATTCGGAAAAGTACATAAGAAACACCTGCACTCATTATTATTGTTTTTAATAGTTCTGTTATGAAGTTAGAAAATTACAGGGCGCCTGGGTGGCTCAGTTGGTTAAGCGACTGCCTTCGGCTCAGGTCATGATCCTGGAGTCCCTGGGTCGAGTCCCGCAT